AAGGGCAAGGAAGCTAGCCGAGCCTAGGAGGATTCGCTTAGGTTGCTGGAACGTAGGGTCTCTGACAGGGAAGCTTCGGGAGCTAGTTGATGCAGTGGTGAGGAGAGGTGTTGATATCCTTTGCGTCCAAGAAACCAAATGGAGAGGACAGAAGGCGAAGGAGGTGGAGGATGCCGGCTTCAAGCTGTGGTACACAGGGACGGCTGCAAACAGAAATGGCGTAGGCATCTTGATCAACAAGAGCCTCAAGTATGGAGTGGTAGACGTCAAGAGACGTGGGGACCGGATTATCCTGGTCAAGCTGGTAGTTGAGGACTTGGTTCTCAATGTTATCAGCGCGTATGCCCCGCAAGTAGGCCACAATGAGAACACCAGGAGGGAGTTCTGGGAAGGCCTGGAAGACATGGTTAGGAGTGTACCGATTGGTGAGAAGCTCTTCATAGGAGGAGACCTCAATGGCCACGTGGGTACATCTAACACAGGTTTTGAAGGGGCGCACGGGGGCTTTGGCTATGGCATCAGGAATCAAGAAGGAGAAGATGTCTTAAGCTTTGCTCTAGCCTACAACATGATTGTAGCTAACACCCTCTTTAGAAAGAGAGAATCACATCTGGTGACTTTTAGTAGTGGCCAACACTCTAGCCAGATTGATTTCATCCTCTCGAGAAGAGAAGATAGGCGTGCGTGCCTAGACTGTAAGGTGATACCTGGAGAGAGTGTTGTACCCCAGCATAAGCTGGTGGTTGCTGACTTCCGCTTTCGGATTCGTGTCCAGCGGGATAAGTGTGCCAAAGTCGCTAGAACGAAGTGGTGGAAGCTCAAGGGGGAGGTAGCTCTAGCGTTCAAGGAGAGGGTCATTAAGGAGGGCCCTTGGGAGGAAGGAGGAGATGCGAACAATGTGTGGACGAAGATGGCGACTTGCATTCGTAAGGTGGCCTCGGAGGAGCTTGGAGTGTCCAGGGGAAGGAGAAGCGAAGATAAGGATACCTGGTGGTGGAATGATGATGTCCAGAAGGCGATTAAAGAGAAGACAGATTGCTTCAAACGCCTATACCTGGATAGGAGTGCAGACAACATAGAGAAGTACAAGATGGCGAAGAAGGCCGCAAAGCGAGCTGTTGGTGAAGCAAGGGGGCGGGCATATGAGGACCTCTACCAACGGTTAGGCACGAAGGAAGGTGAAAGGGACATCTATAAGATGGCCAAGATCCGAAAGAGGAAGACGAGGGATATTGGCCAAGTCAAATGCATCAAGGACGGAGGAGGCCAACTCTTGGTGAAGGACGAGGAGATTAAGCATAGATGGCGGGAGTACTTCGACAAGCTGTTCAATGGGGAGAATGAGAGTTCTACCATTGAACTGGACGACTCCTTTGATGAGACCAGCATGCGTTTTGTGCGGCGAATCCAGGAGTCTGAGGTCAAGGAGGCTTTAAAAAGGATGAAAGGAGGCAAGGCGATGGGCCTTGATTGTATCCCCATTGAGGTGTGGAAAGGTCTCGGGGACATAGCGATAGTATGGCTAACCAAGCTTTTCAACCTCATTTTTCGGGCAAACAAGATGCCAGAAGAATGGAGACGGAGTATATTAGTACCAATCTTCAAGAACAAGGGGGATGTTCAGAGTTGTACTAATTACCGTGGAATTAAGCCGATGAGCCATACAATGAAGCTATGGGAGAGAGTCATTGAGCACCGCTTAAGAAGAATGACAAGCGTGACCAAAAATCAGTTTGGTTTCATGCCTGGGAGGTCGACCATGGAAGCCATTTTCTTGGTACGACAACTTATGGAGAGATATAGGGAGCAAAAGAAGGACTTGCATATGGTGTTCATTGACTTGGAGAAGGCCTATGATAAGATACCGCGGAATGTCATGTGGTGGGCCTTGGAGAAACACAAAGTCCCAACAAAGTACATTACCCTCATCAAGGACATGTACGATAATGTTGTGACAAGTGTTCGAACAAGTGATGTCGACACTGATGACTTCCCGATTAAGATAGGACTGCATCAGGGGTCAGCTTTGAGCCCTTATCTTTTTGCATTGGTGATGGATGAGGTCACAAGGGATATACAAGGAGATATCCCATGGTGTATGCTCTTTGCGGATGATGTGGTGCTAGTTGACGATAGTCGGACGGGGGTAAATAGGAAGTTAGAGTTATGGAGACAAACCTTGGAGTCGAAAGGGTTTAGGCTTAGTAGAACTAAAACCGAGTACATGATGTGCGGTTTCAGTACTACTAGGTGTGAGGAGGAGGTTAGCCTTGATGGCCAGGTGGTACCTTAGAAGGACACCTTTCGGTATTTGGGGTCAATGCTGCAGGAGGATGGGGGTATTGATGAAGATGTGAACCATCGAATCAAAGCCGGATGGATGAAGCGGCGCCAAGCTTCTGGCATTCTCTGTGACAAGAGAGTGCCACAAAAGCTAAAAGGCAAGTTCTACAGGACGGCGGTTCGACCCGCAATGTTGTATGGCGCTGAGTGTTGGCCGACTAGAAGGCGACATGTTCAACAGTTAGGTGTGGCGGAGATGCGTATGTTGAGATGGATGTGTGGCCACACGAGGAAGGATCGAGTCCGGAATGATGATATACGAGATAGAGTTGGGATAGCACCAATTGAAGAGAAGCTTGTCCAACATCGTCTGAGATGGTTTGGGCATATTCAGCGCAGGCCTCCAGAAGCTCCAGTGCATAGTGGACGGCTAAAGCGTGCGGAGAATGTCAAGAGAGGGCGGGGTAGACCGAATTTGACATGGGAGGAGTCCGTTAAGAGAGACCTGAAGGATTGGAGTATCACCAAAGAGCTAGCTATGGACAGGGGTGCGTGGAAGCTTGCTATCCATGTGCCAGAGCCATGAGTTGGTTGCGAGATCTTATGGGTTTCACCTCTAGCCTACCCCAACTTGTTTGGGACTAAAGGCTTTGTTGTTGTTGTTGTTGATGGATGATGTGGGTAATTCTACTGATTTGAATGTCTCACGGGTACCTTTTCACTTACGTAAATGCACATGCAAGTCTAATGTGGCTATTAACTGTAAAGGGCAACCTGGTGCATGTAGCTCCCGCTTGCGCAGGGTCCAGGGAAGGGTCCGACCACTTTGGGTCTATAGTACGCAGCCTTTCCCTACATTTCTGTAAGAGGCTGTTTCCAGGACTTGAACCCATGACCTCATGGTCACAAGGCAGCAGCTTTACCACTGCGCCAAGGCTCCCCTTCGTGGCTATTAACTGTGATCAGAGGAAAATATCAGTTATATAATACTGTTATCTTGTAGACTATTGTTCTTTCTTTGCTAATTTCCTTAATCAGTGCTAGACACTTCCGCATTTGTTTGGTCTATGAGTTGGCATCTAAGATTGCAGATGCGATCCCATATTGTGCAAAGGCTGTTTCATTGTGCAAGTCACGTTTAGAGAGCCTGAAAAAAGCGAAGGAAACCTTGTTGGCTGATAAAGGTGACAGTGCATCTACTGCTGATGGAGACTCAAAGAAATTGTCTATTGAAGATGAGCTGGAGGTTGTTACTGGTATATTGCCTGACCTTGAGAAGAAGGTAACTAAACTAGATTCCTTCATCTTATCAACTTTATTCTTGTCTTCAGCCTATTGATGTCTGAGTGAAAATGTTTATGTTTATCATAATGAGCAATGAGATATCTGAACTGTTTTTGGTTCAGCTTGAAGACCTGGAGCAAGCAATTGCAACCCCAAGCTCTGAAATAGAGGAGATTATGAAAAGCATTGCCGCAAAGGCAGGGTTTATGCAGAAGGCTGGCAATGCTGTGGCGCCAAGAGCTGCATCTTTGACTTCTTCACAAATGGGTGGAGTAAACAATGGCTTTGACTCCCCAACAATGTCTACAGCAGCAACATCTGGAAGCACTGGAAGTACTGTTACCGACCTCGGTGTTGTAGGCAGAGGCATCAAGCGAGCTAATATCAAGCCTATTTCTGCTGAGCCTTGTTCGAAGAGACTGGCAGCAGATGATTCACTGTCTGTGAAATGCGACAGCAGCAACAACTCAGATGTTCACCCCACGGTGCAAGATGGTGAGGGTTCCGTATCAAAGTAGAGTTCATTTTCGTTCGCCCTACATGGTGTTAGTAACTTGCTGGAATCTGTGAGCTCCATATTTGGCCCTGTTTAGCTTCATGCAAACTTAGAGTCGTTAAAATGTTTGTGAATTGTGGGAACCATCTTCTCTTAAGTTGTACTAGTAACTTGAACTGGTGATAAGTTTATCAAGCGTGACAGTTGTTTGGTGTCTGATGCGTGTAAGGTGATTTGTGCTTTTCCAAATGCGTGTTTGTACTTACGTGATCTTGTATTTTTAGTGGTTGCTCTGTGTCATAATCTCTTGTGCCGCAGCTGAGCAAGGCTATCTTGGCACGTTTCACTGGTTATTTGATCTGTGTTGTGTACTGAATAACTTTACACTTCGCATGCTTTGCTGCCGATGTTGAGCGGTATAGCGATATGCATTGCAAGCCGGCCAGGCTGAGCTGCCATCGCCACACTGATGCACAGCGGCTACTGCATGTCTCGTCTGGCATGGTTAAACAGAGCTAACCAAAAGAAAAGTGAAAACAAGATACCATCGTTCTAGAAAAATGAGTTCACATTTCCTTGGGAGACATCTACATCTACGGAGGAATTTTTTCTTTTTTTGGGTGTGTGGATCGACACACATGGAGGAATCTTAGAGTTTAGTACTCTATTTTCGTGTTTCCTTGTATATTCTCCGTGCATGTATACATATAGGATCTTGGGCTGCAAAGTATATTTGCTAGTGGCATCAAGGAACCCGTTTTGGCTAAGCTGGCGGGGCTAGAGTCTGCTCGTTTTCCTGGTGCCCGCACCACGGACGGTAGCGTAGCGTGTCTGAAGCGGACTCGTAGTCCCGATCCATCATCATATATACGTACTGGTCACCCCCGATCATGGTTGCAAGGAAATCATATAGTCTAGGTATTCCAAGAGATCTGGCATGCCAACAAATCCGTTCTCGTCGGGCCTCCGACACGGCGACGCCGATGCCGCGCAAGCGCAATCGAAGCCAATCATCACCCCGACGACGGATCCTGAACGCATCGACAAATCGCTCTTGCCGCTAAAGAAGAGGGCGACGAGCGACAGTAGCGACCGCGAGGATTCTTGTTTCCTAGTCCCACTTCCACCCAAGAAGAGACGGGTAGATGCCCGCCTAATTCCACTTCAGAGCCACCTGGACCTACTATACCAGACGGTGACAGAAGTTGGCACCAGCGCGTCCAGTCCCGACGCGACCACGTCCCAACACCAGAGACTCACGAGCGGCGGCGACGAGCAACCCTTACACGTGACGCGGCCGAGGCGACCAGCGGCGCGCGACGGCGCATACGTGACCATGGAGGAAGACGAGACGGTACCAGCCAAGAATAAGAAGAAGAGGAAGAAGACGAATAGGAACAGGGATCGAAAGAAGAAATCGCTGCCGGCGCGGGTCGCCGCCCCGCCGCCGCTGCGCCTCGGCACGGGGCTGACGCAGCACCTCGAGACGCTCGGCGCCACGGCTCCGCAGTTCGTCTGCGTCAAGAACCTACAGAAGAGCGACGTGGACCTCAACCAGAACCGCCTCCTCTTCTCGTGCAAGCGCGTCTCCATCGAGCGCCACCCCATCACCGGTCTCCTCTCCCACAAGGAGACCTACCTTGTCCATGAGTGCAAGGACGGCCTGCGCGTCACCGCCTTCGACGACCACGGCAACGAGTTCGGCTTCAAGCTCCGGTACCTCCGCTCCAACGGCGCCTACCGCTTCATCGGCGACTGGGGCGACTTCGTGACGGAGCACGGGATGCAGATCCATGTTGACGTCCAGCTGTGGGCGTTCCGGTCACCGAGCTTGCCCGTGCAGCCCAAGTTGCCCGACAAAGACAAGCAGCGGAGACTCGACGGACTCCAGGCTCACCCTGACGGCGCCCTCGGCCTTCTCCTTCTCTTCCAAGTACGGCACCACGACGCAAGAAACGTCCACCACGCCGAGGAAGAAAAAGAGCGTGCGCCGGCGCCGCGGCCGGTCCATGAGACCAAGAGGAAGGCATCGGCGCGACAAGACAACCTCGCGGATCCGCATGTGAGTCAGAATATCACGTCGGAAGACATGGTTACGGCGGTTGGGAAGGAGATGGCGGATGCCTTGATGGGGCTCTTGATGCTCCGCTCCATTTGCCTCCGTTCCAAAACAGATCCTTGCTTGTTAGGACAACATTTTGACCCTAATTTTACTTTATCTACTAGCTAAATGGCCGTACCTTGCTACAGATTATGAGGTAAAGAGAAATACTTTACTACTCTGCTTCGTCCCATGATATAAGAGCTTGAAAAACATTTTTATATTATGAGACTGAAGAAGTATTATGTAAGTATAGTATATATGTGATTGAATGAGTCAAATATTTTTATGTCAAATTAACAACAATACCATTGATGACTATAGTTCTTGGAGGCATACTTTTATATAGAAAAAAGACGCCGATAAGTGCCACACGTGTGGGCGTTAGGAAGTCCGCCCACACATTTTGTGTGGTGTATAAGAGGAAAAGCCCACACACTTACGTGTGGGCAAAACAATTAGCGCCTACACGCCTCTTTTTCTCCCTCCCGATCCTTCTCACACGTGTGCATGTGGGCAAAGTTGATAACGCCCACACGCCCGTATGTCAGGCCTCGTACCTCCTGGTCCCGCACGCTACGCGTGACGGTCACCGCGCGCGCGCAGTTGCCATGGTCCAGACCCTCGTCCATGTTCGTTTAATTGCAGTTGCCATGTCGCTGAACTTATGGTCTGATCTAATGTAGTTGCCATGATTTCATAACTTTAGGAGTTGCCACATACTAACACTAGGCAGTTGAGAGAGTTGCCATGTGCTCACAAGCATGCTAGGGCAGTTGCCATGTAAAAAGGAAGAGTTGCCATCTGCTTACGTGCACGTTAGGGAAGTTGCCATATACATGCACGTTAGGGCAGTTGCCATGTACCATGCAAAAACATATGGCAACTCGGTAAAAGAGAGTTGCCATCTACTTACGTGCACACTAGGCAGTTGCCGTGTACCCTGCAAAACACATGGCAAACTCGGGTAAAAAAAGAGAGTTGCCACCTGCTTATAAAAGCACACTAGGGGCAGTTGCCATGTGCAGTGCAAAAACACATGGCAACTAGCAGCTTGGGTGTGGGAGAGCAGAAGGGCGTGTGGGCAAGATGCCAAATGCCCACACACTAGCCCTTGTGTGTGCGTGCAAAATGACGTGTGGGCGAACTGCTGAACCCCCACACACCAGCCCCTCCTGTGTGGTGAAACGGCCGTGTGGGCGACCGGCTGAACGCCCACACACCAGGCCAGTCCTACGTGGCACTAGAAACATGCCAAGATTCGTACGCTCACGAACGGACGCGGATCCACGCGTGTAGGCGAGATGCAAAAGCCCACACGTGTGGGCGTTAACATTTCCGTAGAAGAAACTCTAAGCACCACAGGTCACCCCATGACTCGAACTCAAATGAGTTAGATAAAACAATAAGGTGACACCCTATTCTCTTCATGGTGATCTAGAGTTCTGCCGTTGATCTTCAGTGCACATTGATCCAACCCTCGCGAGGCTCATTGTACAAGGCGCTACAATAAAATGACTAGCCGGACCAACTTAGAGCATCTACAACATCGGGCACGTCATCATTTCTTCTTTTCTATAACCACACTCCCCATATTCAAATATCCATATAAATGTAAGTGCACCATGAATAAGCGATACAAAGTAAACGACAATTCATTACATGACAAAATAAAATTCAGTAATTCATACATGGATAGACGATACACGAATGAACAAAGACGTTAATTGTTGCGATTACTGATGACCTTCATGCGGAGAAGCCACTTCTTGCCTTCATCATTCAAGAGGTTTATGTCCTGCAGCATGATCCTCGACTCCTTCGTTTCTCTTGCAAGTCTCAACTTGTCTCTCTCAAGATCAAATTCCTTGCATTATCGCAGCTTCTCTTGCCTCTTCAATTCTATTTTGTTATTCTCCAAGTGCAACCTCTCCGGGCCGAACTTCATCTTCTCTCTTTGCACATCTATGAACATCTTGTACCTTTCCTCCTTCATCTTCTTGGTGAAAAAAATGCCGGTCCAAGTGGCGGACATTTTGCTTACCGCGCCATCACGGGCGATCCTCTCCTTCTTCCACTTGTTTCCCTTCACATGCCGATTTTTATTTGGCATGGCTGCTTATATGTTTGCCCCATCAATTTCTTCTTCCTCCTCTAGTCCAATTGATTGAGCATAGCTAGACCCATAGGTTTTCTTCATCTTCTTCATGACACTTCTAATCTCCTCGAGAACAGTTTGCCACTTAGGTTTCCCGTTCAATTTCATCCAACAATGTGACATTGCGAATGGCTTGTTCTCGTCTTGATGGTACAAAGCCGCTGCCTAAGTTGTATGGGTTTGAACTCTAATGTCGCTTTGGTTCTGGTCAACAACTTGTATGAGAAAACCAACAGATTTGCTCACATTCTCTTGGATGATGGACCATCTATGTTGGTGAGAGCACGGGAAACGGTTGGTATTGATTGGGTGTGGTTTCACATAATGTTTTTACTCATGATAAAGTTTGTGATTTTTTCCCAATATTTCTCGCCTTTTTGCTCAGTTCACATATTGGATCCACACTAGTGTTCAACCAACTGTCACACAACAAAACATCTTCAAATTGTTGAATGTCGGACCTCTTGGCTTCACTACCTTCTTTCTTTTTGTGCATTACGTTTGCCCAACTTCAAATGTCGAGGAATTGATTTCCCCCATGTTAAATTGTAAAGGCTCTTGACCACCATTTATCATGTTATTCAAAATTTGTTCCTACAATTTGCATCGTAATTTAACTATCATTCTACAAGTTTGATCTAATGGTATGTGGAACAAATAAATCTTGGAATGCAAATGTCAGAGAGGCAAAGATTGTATCAGGTCTTGTTCCGTCGAACAACATGTGGGCATGCCCGGAGCCGACACTGGCAGACGTCGCCCGATGCCTTTGGAGTTGCAGCGAGTCGGCCATCGTGGTCACGTTCGTGGAGTCTCCCGTAAAGCTCAAATCTGGGATGCCCGTCCACTAGGAGGGCGAAACGGAGTCGCGCTCGCCCGACAAGTTGTTTTTCCTCGCGGCCATGACAGACAGATTGGCATGTGTCGCCACACCGCTCGTGCCAAAGCCCATGCCTCATCACCGACCATCTTCGTAGTTGCGTTCACCGCCACTTCACGCTCACGTTGCCTTCGCCGACGGTCCTTCCAGGCAAGGTTCTCCGCCTTGCAAGGAACCGCCACGCCGGGGAGCCTGACCGATTTCGCCAATGCATCATCCGTGACAATGGTGGCGGACAGGGTTGTCGGTGACAACATTAGCGACGACGGACGAGGACGACGACACGAACGACAAGCAAGGAGGGGTGGGCGGCTGCGTGGAGGCGGGAAATGGAGGATGGAGCCGGGAGGAGGGTGGTCGAAGTGATGGACTAGTCAATTTTGAGAGGATTTGGGATGAGTCGGCTTGTCAGAGCCGCGTGGTGGGCGCGTCCGCGTGTCCCCATATCCGCCCCGAATATGGGCTGGGTATTAGTGATGTCGGTCAGTCCAAGCGTTTGGCCCGAATTTGCCAAGTTCAATGGAATGATTGTTTTCTATCCGGATAGTGACTGGGCAAGCCGCCTGGGCGCTTACAATGGATATGTGGGCTCTAGTTGTAGATGCTCTAAGAGCATCTCTAGCCGCGCCCCCAGGAACGCCCCCAAGCCATTTTTCTAGAGCCGGCGGCAAAAAATCCTCCCACTCACTTCCCCAAAGCCTTACTTTTCGCTGGATTTAAAGAAAAACGATGCCGGCAAACCCACCCAAACCCAGCCCCCTGGGGGAAGCTGGGGGTGCCGACGGTTACTTTTTCTCGCCGTTGGCCCACTCTCAGTCTCCCACCTCCCTCTCTTCTCTCTTTTCATCTGGGTGTTGACACACGAACATGTCACGTGTACCCTCGACGCCGGGGGTGATGCACCGCAGCTCACGTCGAAGGAGACCCGACCGACAGCGCGATACGCAAGACAGTCGACGAGCGCTTTTGCAGACCCGAAAACCCCACACCCCCGGGAGGGACCCCGTCAGGGAGTGCGGTGGCTATGGGCTGCTCTAGGTCGATTCGCTCGCCCCTAGAGCCTCGGGATTCGCAGCTCTCAAACACGAAGAACAACAAAGAACGAGATAGAAAAACGGTGGAGAGATAAAACGTAGATGAAAAAGTAGTATATTGATTTGTTCGATTGTGTGTTGTTCAATCGGCCGTCACCCCCAACATATATAAGAGGCGGCTGGACTTCCCGTACAAGCAAAGGATTTATCTAGGCTTTCCTTACAAGAAAATTATATCAATTCACGTCCTAGAATCCTAGTTCTGGTCCCACTCGGATTCAACCCGAATCTGGTCCAATCTTCTGTCTTGCTCCTTGCGTGGGCTGTGGAATCTGCATATGACTTCTGATGGAGACGGTTCAAATATCAATTATGTGTGCTTCGATGAGGCCAATAATCCGTATGTTGATCACTTTTCCAAATAAGGCCATCTTGAATACTCCACCGGGTCATCTCTAATTTCGAGTCGGACTCGTTCATGTAGCTGACTGGGCCGTCCGACTCTTGCAGCGTCTCTGCAGGTCGTATACTACGTCGGATGATGATGACTCCAAAAGCAAAGTTGACTGTTTCGACGTTACGAACAACTCCTATGTTGAACACTTCTTCATCCGAAGCCATCTAGATAAGTATTTGAGCCCATCTTCAGCATCTGGTCGGATTGGCCTCGACAGTTTCTACTGTTCACGGCAGCAAGCTTTCCCGGCAAGGTTACTGTTCACGGCGGCAAGCTCTCCCCCGGCAGGTTATTGTTCACGGCGGCAAGCTCTCCCCGGCAAGGTTACTGTTCACGGCGGCAAGCTCTCCCCCGGCAGGTTACTGTTCACGGCGGCAAGCTCTCCCCCGGTAGGTTACTGTTCATGGCGGCAAGCTCTCCCCCGGCAAGGTTTTTGAGGCAGTAAACGACCTCAGATGAAAATGTGTCCAAAAGCAAAGTTGACCATTTTGACGAGACGAAAAATTTCGTGTTGAACATTTTCCGATTCGAGGCCATCTTCTGGGCCAAAACACTCATGCATTACATCAGACACTTGCCAAGACATGTCTGGTCTTCCGC